TTGTCAAGTTATAAAAAGTGAATTATAACACTTTCTAAGATTACAAGACTAAGACATACTTATTTATTTGAGAAAGTATAATATCTGCTTATAATACTTATAAGTCATTACAAGCGTTTGAATTGCTTCCTTTTGCTTTGGATACAATTTTTTATCAAATAATTAATAAAATATAATTATATTTAATTATTTAATACAAAATAATAAATGATACATTATTTCTACAGTCCTAACCTCTGCACCACCAGCAGCCTCTGCCTTGTTCTTTCGTGAGTAGAATTTGTGTCGGAAAAGGATGAACGCATCCTCAGGCCGTTTGATGTAGTCTTTGTCACTACGGTTGGTCGTCACTCGGGACCTGTGAGTCAAATTGCGTGTGTGTGTGGGATGAGGTCGAGCGGGTTGTGGAGGTTGAGGCTACACCTGTTAGACAGGTTTAGAGTAGTTAGCAAGTGACAATAGGAGATAAAAGGTGGACGTACCGTGACAGCGTGCAGTGAGTGTGAGTAGTGCATACAGGTTGAGATCCGGAGCGTTGAACGAGTTGATTCAGGCTGTAGACAAAGCTGTATCAGTATGCGTATACTACATATTCTGACTGTGACGTGCAATTGGGGGAGCAGTGAACTGAGTCGTTTTTGTGGATTGCAAAGGTGTATCTCTGGGACGTACCAGCTCGAACAGAGAAGGCGAAGTGGAACGTATGGACGGACTCAGCTCAAGAGGGGTAAGTGGCGGTCCACTGCTTCCGTTCGATATGGTGTTGTCTGCTGCACTAGGGAATGTAAATGCACGTGGGGTGGACCTGTAGAGAGTGATGTTAAGCATGGAATGGGTAGGGAAGGAGAGCGCGTACAGCGTCAAAGAGAGGGTCGTACCATGGGAGTGGTCGTACGTTGGTATTGCCGCGAGCGCGCGCTTGTCGACTGTTGCTTGCACTACAGAGCGGGAAGTATGCGAGTGTATGGAAACATTGAAGAAGTCGTTCGGCATTGGTCAACAATGCGGATGTGCGAATGCGAATGCAAAAAGGAAGGCGAGTGTAAACAAAGGAGGACAATGAAGGAGAGGTAACGCAAGTGGCGGAGCGAGGAGCGGGAGGGGTGGAAGGGAGACAAAAAGTTGGGAGGAGAGGGATGAGCAACCATTGTGCGAGTTATTATGAAGTGGACTGGCTGCTTACGCTTTACGATGAAGGACGGTGTAGTCAGCTCGGTGGCATCATCGCGGGATCTGAGGCTCAGCGCGGGCATCGCAGCGGCAGATTGGAGAGACGAGTACAGTGATGTTTATTGCCTATGTTGAAGCAGGCAGAGTGCCCGCCAGTGGGACGCTTGTAGGCAGAAGACTGGGCTAGAGAGAACAAGAGCAACAACATAGTGTTG